TGTATCATAACTCAGGGACTGAGATTTTTCCTTCCTAAGAGCACGTAAAATGATAGTATATCTTACAATAGATGACATCTCAGATTCAGTGAAATAGGGTCCCAGTTTAGCTTCACAGCTGTGGGTAGGCACCATTATTAATAGATTTGATGCCTTATTGAATAGAAACCTGATAAACCCGGCTGTGCTGTAGGCTTTGCTGATGTTTAATGCTTGGTCTACGTGGACACCTGTAGAGGGGGCAGAGGGATGCCTCTTTAGTCCCCTGAAGCCCCGGAGACTTTTGAGCCAAGGCTTGTGAGAGTTTTTGAATAGTAGGCATTAAGATCTGCTGGGTAGACTGTATAAACCTTTTCATTGATCACTCTAGTGACATTTGTTAGCTTATGAACATTAAACATGATCTCATCTCTGTGGGATTATATGGTTCATAATCATATCACCAATTATAGGTAGCTTCAATCACAGTTTCTAAATGAGCTTAGCCTAGCATGGCGTGGCATATTCAGTGCACTCTGCAGAACACTTTTTCCCCTTGAAAGTGTTATTAGGTAGGCCCTGCTCCAGGTCTAGGTGAGGACAACAGCTAGGCAGCTAGTACACACGATAGAGCTTCTCACTCAGGGGAAGGGTCTGCATCCCGGGCTGAGATTTCTCACCATCCACACCTGGGGTCTCACAATAGACCGAGGAGGATGCCCTGTTCCTTTGAAGTATGGGGTTGAATAGGAGTCACCACACAGCTTGGGGAGGCAGCAGAGAGAGCCCTCCCTCTGAACTCAAGAATCTGCCACTGAAATGGTGCCCCAAGCTGGTCTGCAGGTGTATTTATATGTGAGTGGGCCTTTCAGAGAGCTTACTCCTGCTTCTTCACCTAAGTGAGGCTCAGAGAGACGGGAATAACCACAATAACACAGCTGCCGAGAGACTTTGATGAGAATTCAGGCTTCTGGACCCCATGTCAAGCATTCTTTCCAATACTGATTGATATTGAGCTACTTTGATAACCCACTGTTCCTAGAAAAATAAATCCCTCTGGGAGAGAAGCATTTTTTAAGCCTTTTGGAGAGGGAAAGTTGAGATTAGCCATGTCTTTCCATTTTCCACAAATTCCTGCAGCCCCTGCAGACTCTGCTATTACATCCTCCACTCTGTGCTCCCGCCCCCACCACATCACTGTACTTTGCCTGTGTGGTGTTATCAGCTTTCTCTCCCTTGTGTATCTAACAGACTCCAGTTAGCCATCAGTTCTTCCTAGAAGTCACTGAAAACCAGTCCCATCTCCTGCCCAACCTCCAGCAGAATCTCTCGCTCACCTGTCTTCTCACTTTGCCTTTTCGTCAACACTGATCATCTCATTGTATTTCCTATAGTTTTGCTTGTGCCTGGCTGTCTCTTCTGCTGAAGAGTGAGCCCCTCAAGGACAGTGTTCCACTCTGTGCCTCTCCAGGATGGACCTAGCGCTGGCATCAAGCCATCCCCTCCATTAATGACTGCTGGATGCATGAGGAAATGAATGAAGATGGCAGAAAGGCTCTGGGGAAATAAGACACAAAATGCGTGCTGGGTGGTGGTGACGCTCGGGCATGGGGAGGAGGAGGAAGGAAAGCTGGGTGAAAAGAAATTAAAACTCTTGACCTACCTCATCATTCTCCAAGGACTACTGTGTTTCCCCGAAAATAAGACCTACCCCAAAAGTAAGCCCTAGCAGGATTTTTATGCATTTCTTAAATTTAAGCCCTACCTCGATAATAAGACCTAGTGATGGGTGTGGCTATGCAGCGTATCTGCATGGAGTGGTAAGGAAGCCTGGAATACCTTTTATCTGCCACAGCTCCTTTCTCCAAGCCATTTGCACTTGTGTGGGTGTGTGTGTGTGGTAACCATAGTTGCAGGCATCCTATTGCACACGTGCAAACGACTAGGGGAAGGGAGTTCATGCATCACTAGCACCAGCCCCACCAACAAGGTTGGCTCCCTCTGTCAGGTTCCAGAAGAAGATGACTTAACTGTTTTTGAATAAATGTAGATTGTTGTATTATACTTAATAAAAATAAGACATCCCCTAGTGTGTCTTCTTGAGAAAAAAGAAATATAAGACAGTGTCTTATTTTCCAGGAAACATGGTAGTTTTGTGCATGCCCTGTGGAAAGATTTAAAATTTCTGTTGAAATTTGTTGTTTTAGGTGAATAAATGTGCACAGTAAGCCAGAACTTTCTTACCATGTGAAAAGTATGTTCATTAGAGGTGGGAGAGCTTGGTAAAAGATTTTGTTGTGGTTCACTAATGTTCTTTTACTGGGAGAAAATGATGTAGTGACTCTGTATCCATATTTTTCTTTGCATTTTCTCTTTAATGCAAATTTTGAGAAGTGAGAGAACTGTGTTTGGGAGCCAGGAGGTTGGGTGCAGATATCATTGAGCTGGACAGGAAAAGTAATGAAAATGGAGGACTATGGGGAGGTTAAAGCTTGCTTTAGTGAATATGGGATGTGGCACTGCAGTAAATCAGACTGCTGGCTTAAAGGTCCCAGGGGCTCTGACTGGAGAGCTGTTGAAAGATGTCCCTGGGAGCTTTAAATAGCCTTCGTTCCTGGTCTTGGATTTAGACCAACCTGGGCCTGAATTCTGACTCTGCTACTTCTACTCTGGTCTTGCACAAGGCAACATCTAGGTCTGTTTCCTTGTCTGTAAATTACATGTCTATAAATCACCTTTTAGTGATTTAGATGTTATGAGTGCAAGAGATGATCCAAGTATTGGGTAAATTGTGGTTATGGTTTAGAAACTTAGGTACTCGTCCTAGAAGTTTCACTTGAGAAATGTTATTCTTCAAACTCTAAAAAGCTCTTATTAAAATGGGGGCACCAGACAATATGATCTGAACTTTTGTGGACAATTTTGTTAAGCAGTGAGTGTGACCAGTAGAATTTAATCTAAGCATGGCACTATTATTATATACTAAGTTATACTACTTAAATCTTTGGTCTCAACTCTGGCACCATGAAGCCTGGGGTTCAAAACATAGTCTCCTGGGTAAATTTGGGTAAGTCATTTAAATTTTTGTGGTCTATTTTCTTATATGTAAGAAAATAGGGATGAAAGTAGTACCCCACCCATAGGTAGTGGTGCGCTACAGCTAAATCTTTTAACCAGTTCACCAGAGCCCATTGAGCGCCTCTCTTCCCAGCTCCATGTTCAGTCATGCCATCGGTAGCTGGAAATCTATTATTTAACACCACAACGATTGGTGACCACTGCAAACTAGGGATTTTTTTCTCCAAGAGAAGCAGTTGTCAAATATTTCCCAACAGAGTTACTTATAGGAGTGTCGCAAAGGTCAAACAAGATCACAAGTGCTAAGAGTTTGGCATATGGCCTGGCACAAAACATGTCTATATTATTTGCAAGCATAGCTGTATATATGGACTTATATCTGACAATTTTTGCTTTAAATGGTTACCTTATTTTAAAAGGTTATTTTGTCAGGGAACACAGTATTGTAAGTCTCTCCAGGCTCTCGCTTTTCTGAGATTGCAGCCACCCCTACCTTCACTCTCTGAGTGGGACCAAAATTGCTTTTACATTGTGAACCTTTCCCCCTTGTTAGAGTTTTTCATGAACGAATAGTCTGCTGGTCTCTTGAACAGAGGAGTTAATGTATGCTTGGGAGTTATTGTCAGGGACTACTTTTCAACACCAAGACTGGAAAATAAAGAACACCTACCTATAGCTCCAGAAAGGATGATTCAGATGAAAAGCAGAGGACAGAGATACTCAGAAAGATCCTGGTTTCCTGATACCCCTCCTCTTCCTGCTTCTAATCTCTTGTGAAGGTTGACGGAATCTCTTTGGA